CGCGATTACGTGACTGGTGAATACTCAACCGCTTTATAAGCGGCAGCCCACGAAATATTCCGCCCTCTTAGCCTCGCGATTGTGTCCAGCGTGCAAATCACTTTTCATTATGCGCGCATTTATCATTTATGAACGAGCGGTGATATTTCGCTTTTCTCGCGGCGACGGCAGTGCCCGGCGAATATCGCAAATCTCCATCAGAATGATTCCTTAATCTCTCGCGTCGCCAGGAAATAAGTACTCGCTTGTGTACGCAAGCTGTCACAATTTATCATGGACGTGATCGCTTCCCGTTATTGCTTTCAAATGATTGAGATTGTATTAGTGTCGTTTCTTTTTTTTTCTTTTTCCTTTAATTTTTAACGCGTTCAAAGGACTCCTCTATATAGTCCTTTAAATTCTATTCAACTACGTCGATTAAATGTTAAATGCGGAAATGCGAAATGCCATAATGCGCGTGCTGGATACGTTAGATCGTCCGTTAAATTGTAACTCAATAAATTACGATCGCGATAGGAGACGGCGTGACAGACACGTGGGTAAATGTTATCTGGTGACGATTGCGTGATGCGGGGAAAATTTACGAGCGAATTTTTCCACGTAATTTCACTTTGCGTGTCGCGCGTAAATACGTAGCGATCGGGCAACATCGCTTTCGCGATACATTGCGAAACCGAATTTCCAACGCATCGTCGATCAAATGGAAACAGCGATCGAAGATTGAAGTCACGACAAGTGGCGGATACAGCTTTAATAATTAAAATTTTATATCCCAATAAATCTTCAAATAAAATGTGCAAGATGTTGAAAGTATTTAAATAAATGAGCAAAGCGTATTGATTAATCGTTTTTACAAACTTAATTTATGTCATATAATTCTCAATCTTTAATCTTTAATACCTCACGCTATTTTAATCATTATTTTTCAAACTACATAAAATCCTGTTAAAATGACGCAAAAGCGATGATGTATGAGCAATAAGAAAGATTTCGTTATCTACTTTTATCTCTCAAATTTGCCGAATACCGTTTCACGTTTAATCGCTTGTAGCTGGAAAACCAAAGATTGATGGTACTTCAGCATTACGCACGCAATCGAACCAAGGTCTTACGCCGGGAGGAAGACAGATGGGAAAAAAACCGGTGCCACACATATCGGGACAGTTATCTTAAATACATGGATCACGTGTAAAAAGACAGATTACGCAATTTACAGGTAGGCCGGTGTTGTTTATATCGAATAGTCGCTCCATTCACTGCCGCGCTCCACATTGCCCACGCAACGTCCTTTCAGAGATTTAATGCGTGTTACGCGACGTGGGCAGGTGCAACGAAGGATAGAAAGAGATGTACGACCGCACCGAGAAATATCGCGTCAGTCAGCGGAATTTGTAATCGGCCGTGATTTTTTTCTCGCTCGCATGCCTTCGACGCCCCTCAAAGGCGGATCCACGAACCGTGTGGTACACGCGCGCGCGCGCGCGCGTGCTATTTTCTATTCCCGTTACGGTATTTACAGGAAGCGCCGTCCCCAACGTGGAATGCACGCATCACTGGAAAACTTTATGGCATCTCATCCGGTTGCGATTGCCTATAGCGTGCATTCGCAATGGCGAAAGTTATCTTCAACAGGTGGATCTCGATAAATACCGACGATAAAACGTTTTAAATGCGATGGACACGTCGAAGAACAAAAATAGAAAACGCATCAAAGTAGAAAAAGAGAAAAATATTTATAAAAAAAAGTCCATCTAAATTGAAGTCATCAAGGCAAGATAAAGGAATTTTGAAATAGTTTACATTAAAATTGAATTAAATATTGTCGAGAATTTTTTTGCAAACTTTTAAGAATACTAATCTTGCGTTTCAGCCGTTTTTAAAATACGGTGTATATGCTTACAAATCTTGCTTACAAATCAAAACGTTATTGTGACAATATGTTCGTGTTGGCAAAATATTTACAGGTATTGTAGCGCGGTAGCACAAACAAACGCGAGAACTGTTGTTACTAATTCCGAATTCGTTTCTTCTTCCTTATGATAAACGGCTTTCATCCTTTCTATCGCACAATCACCACCCTTGGCCTTAACCTTCCAGACGATTTACCGGCGATACGTCACGAAGCACCGTGCAATTACGCGAGGCGTCAGTAATTACAGATTCTGACGGCGTACAGCCAATAAAATAGCGCGATCTTTTTAATCACACATTTACGATGCATCGCGATCTTTTGTTCTGCACGATAACGACGTAACTTTTAATTCAAATTTTCTCATTCAAGAGATAGTTACGCGCCTTTGCGTAATATTATTCGGAATAACATCGTTATAAAACGTAACAAAGGTAGCTGGATCATTTGTGCAAAGTACAACACGTTATCACGATCACGTATTTGATCTGTAGCTCCATTACGGTCGTTCTGTTTGATAAGATCGTAACGAATGCGTTATCATGCCTCTCAACTGATATAAGCATTTTTATTATGTCATGATTCAGTTTTACAACGGTTTATAGCACCGTAGCACTTTTACGAGTCATTTCATGTCTTTGCGTTGTGTCAGCCAATAATGTCATTAATTCCAGTCATCAGGGCTTTAAAATATTCCGACGATTATATCACAAAACAAATACCATATTGTTTCAGATTAGATTTCGTTTTCTATTTAAAGAGCCTAAACAGCACTTGATTGGAAAAACAAGCATGTTTTGATTTAAGCAGTGATCCCATGATATGTGCAATACTTCCGTTCAACAAAATAGCTTTTTGATTTCAATTTTTGATATTACGTATCTGGGTTGCGATAAGTCCAAAATCAAATATCTGTTGAAATAATCCGAAAAACGAATTCATATTTATTTTTCATATACTGCAATTTTACAATATCAAACCCGTCCGGAAATTATCGCGTTAAATGGAAAAGAAAATGGAAAAAATATCAAATTATAAATATCATTGTGAAAAATCTATTTTCGAGTTACCTCAAATATTAAAAAATTTTTTTAATTCCGTGTAAAATTATATTTTTACTGTATATACAAGTAATACGATTGCCGTGTATTCGTAGCGACGTGTCAACGGCATATTTTCGGCGAACACGAGGCGCTTAAATGTATCCGTGGCGGAAGCGAATCTCGCACATATATACACACATTTATGGCTCACGCGGATGCTAAGGAGGAATGCGATATTCGCGGGCGGCGAGCGAGCGCTCGCGCGGGATAAGAGAGTGCGGAAACCTGGAGGTCTGCCAATTTGTACGACATCCAAACAACCGGCACGAGAGGACTTTGCTCCTTCGGAGTTCCCTGACTTTATATCCGTTCCGCGTGCACCGACAAAACTGCATTATCGAACCTCCGAGGAACACAAATTGTATTAATCTCAGCGCGCTGAGAAAACACGGACTATAGAGAGGACGGGGATGGGAAGTAATTAGGACTCTTCGATGCAAATCAAGGGACAAATAATTTCTCAGACCCACATCTTCCAATAATTTTTGTAAAGAGCCTCGTGCAAGAGTATAATAGATTGTACTAAAGATTAAAAAAGCAATCCTGTTATTTTAGCAATATATAAATTCTATTTTTAAATAAAATTACGCATTGTATTTCGCAAGACTGTTCTATTTTACGCAATATATAATTAAAAAACAATTGGTGTTTTTAAATTGGATGGTTTTAAATAGAGTTATTTTGCCAGAATGATCGTAATTGAGAATTTCAATCCATACATTTAGCCGAACACGCCGGATTTTATTTGTCTTACGACGTAGAACGTTATCTCAGTCTGAGAATCAAACGACCGCAATTAACGTTAAATGTGGGATACAAATAGGGGTCTAAATTTTATTACTTTCTATATAGACCCGTGGCGATAATTCTCACGATTAAACGCAAACGAAATCGGCGAAGATGGCGGAGAGCGCGGTATTGTTGGAATTGCCGTAATTAATGAGCGGAACGATGATAAATCAGTGCGATCGATGACTCTCGCACGAGCCGCGAGATGCATTTTATCGCGTATATTGCACCGCGGTCGATTCCCGATACAAATGGGGTGCAACAGATAAATGCGATCTTCGATTCGATATCGGATTCAGGGATCGAATGGCGGCCGGCCGCGAAACTATTGACCTTCTCCGTGGCGTTTTTCCGCATTCCACGGCACATCTTCAGGGTCGGTAATCGGCGGCGCCGTGTCAGAACTTTTTCTGCTTACTTCTATACGAGAGGAGGAAGGGGGGGGGGGAGGCTACCTGTTAAACTGTGACGTCTTAAAAAGGGTCTTTTGCAGCAGCCTGTGTTTTTTCAATGCGATTTCACGATAAAAAAAAATGCACGTTTATTTGTCGAAAAAATAAATGACTCGATATATGACACAAGTAGAAAGGCTGACTGGAATAATAAATCTCTAATCATTACTTAATACTATCGCATGGAGTCCTTGAAAGTACGGTGTAAAGGATTAAGAATGGAAACTAAGAACAGAAAAAATTTGATCGGCAATAAATAATCACCGTTCAGAGCAAACATTGTCGTGAGAACACTCGAATGTGTTCTATCATTGTTTTAAAACGCGTTGACCACTTATAGAAATTGATATGTAGCTATTTTTGTAGATGCATTTGCAAAAAGAAATTGAAATGTCAATAATGATAATCATTGTACATTTCCATGAAGATGTTACGATATATGTAATATTATTTATATTAATAATGCGTAATATAATAATATTCTATCGCACGCAAGATGTGTGATTCGTATATGTTGCGTTTTTTTTCTGAATTTTCAATTAGTTTTTGCGGCTCGGCGCGGGAACGAGTGGTTCCGGCGTAAAAACAATTTTTTGCCTGTCAAAAGCGTGAAGTGTGAAAACATCGAGCTAGAATACCTGAGAATACGTAGGCCGGTTGTCGACAACCAGCCGGAATTACACGAATCTACGCATCATTCCAACGGACAGTTGTTTGTGAGACGCTAAGCAATTTTGCGTTACTCACCGAAAGCAATTCCTCAGCACGACGGCGACCGACGGGACCGACGGCTGGCGGTATCCTTCCGAAAATCCGTAGTACCAGCTCCCAAGAAATCCGTGTATCCACGTGTACGGGATGTAATCAGGCACCGACACACTGTTAACACTCACGCGACACGCGGAACGTCACGCCGACCCGCTGACACGTACGGCGCGCAATTTCACGGCAATGGAATTTTGTCACGTCGCGCGTTTACTCAACGAACGGTACCACAGACGTTCATATTGCTACTCCGCCGAGTGAATTAGCAGCTCTTCCCTCACTGCTTCGTTTCCCTAGCATTGGGTGTAGTTTAGCGCCGTAAACGTCCGAGCGCTGACGACCGTGCACGAAACGCGTTTATTGGTCGAAATCATCAGCTGGTTCCTTTATGCGTGCGCAGTTTTATCCCAAACCGCGCGCGCGTAATTTGAATGTACTGTTTAATCAATTCAAATATTATTAATCTTTTCTTTTACAGATTAAGTATATTGACTTGTAATATTTAATATAAGTTTCTTTATAATATAATAATAAATTTGTATCATATCTTATAGTAATATTCAAAGATATTTGAAGCAAAAGTTTGTTGATAAGGTTATACCGATATAATAGTGATATGTAATGTATATCATATAAAATACTTGAGATTATTTAATATAAAAGAAATAAAGATATAAATTAAATATTATACCATGTCTTTTATGTTCAATTGAGATTTTATAAAATAGGTATTTATGTAGGTTATGTGAATAATTTGTATCTTTTAAAACACTGCATAAGAGTTGCTATCATAATGAATAGGAAACAATTAGTGATATTAGTTTCATTATTCTCATGAGTTCAAAGTTTAGTAGTTATATGTATACATTACCTAACAATTATTTTTATCTTACGACACAAAACCATCCAGCAGCGACGTTAGAAACACGAAATCTATCCTTCATAGTTACACATGTTGCACTTTCTGTTCATAATATGAGATAGATAATATATATAATTATGCATTGGAAAGAAGAAGAGAAGCAAGAAAAAGTGAGAAAGTGCTGCTACGAAGAATAGATGAATAGATAGAAGCAATGTTTTCGGCGCGAAATATTAAATAAATTGTTGCATTCTGTGAAACTAGATTAAAGGAATGTGTAAAAAACCGAGTAATTGCAAAATTATATCGAAATTTATGAAACATTTTTTTAGCTTTTGATTACTTCTTTGTTTAAAAAAATTATTTGTGATCATGTATGATAATATATGTAACACAAATACCGGTCATTGAGTGAATGTGCACCACTGCTAACGGTATTGTCAGTTCTGCTGCAACGCGTCGTCTGCGTTATGACAATTTATTAACACTTTTCTTTGAGCGTTAATAGAATATAGTCTTTACCATGAGTATACGAGAAATGCATCAAATGCCAAATAAAGTAAGTGCATAATTTTACGAATTAAGCGTTAGGCAATGTGGAAATAATATGCCTATGCAAGGTCGTCGAAAACATAACCTTCATTAACGTGTCTTTAAAATTATGCTAACTCATTAATAGGCTTTATTTTCGTCTCAAATATAGATTCTTGTTGTTAATAATAATTGTACTATTAAGAAAAATGTTGCACATTGTCTTGCGTCATATTGCTTAGAATGTTGCAATACAAGCAATTTAATACTTTTTGTTTTTAGAGCGAGGCTGACCTAACTCCAGAGGAAAAATGGAGGTAACTTATTAATTTTTATAATAGCATTATAACATAAGTCTTGTTTTGTATTTTTTATGATTTAACTTGTAACATCTTTAATTAGAATATATATTTAAAAAATATTAATAGAACTTTTATTAAACTTTCTTTTTAGGGTGGAACATATAAAAATGCACGAACAGCACAAGGGTCATGAATCTATGCACGCAGAAATGCTACTTGTATTGTTGATAACATTAACAGTAGCACAGATTATATTAGTTGAATGGAAGAGAAGGCACTTTAAATCATATCAGGTTGAACAATGATATATTTCTTTTGTATAAATATTTGAAAAAAAAAAGTGACCAAGATATTTTTCTTATAGTTTATAACACTAGTAGCTATGTGGGTTATTCCATTTGGAATCAGTTTAAAGAACCACTGGTGGAGATTTATATTTTTATGGCTTTTATCGTCGTGTATAACAGGTTTAGTAGTAAGAAAAGCTGTTCAAAAGCCAATAGAAGGTACAACACCAAGGTAATGTTGAATAATTATTAATATTGATTGCATAAGCAACGATTATAAGATAATAATGGAGAATTGATCTTTTGCAGGCTAGTGTATAAATGGTTTTATTTTATTTATAAGCTCAGTTATGTACTAGGCTTATTTGGTTACGTTTTGTGCGTACTTACATTCTTGGGTCTAAATATCGTATTTGACGTTAAACCTCACGTCTGGGTGGACTGCGGTGTCTTGTTTCTATTTTATGGTCTTTACTTTGGCGTACTAGCAAGGGATGTTGCTGAAATATGTGCTGACAAAATGGCGTCACATATCGGAGTATGCAACTATCATATTTAAATGTTATATTACATAGATAATTTTATAATGTTTAATGTGGTTTTCAGTATTACACCCCAGGCAGTATTCCAACCAGAACTTTGGAGCCGAATGTTTGCGCAGTATGTGGAAATAAGCTTCTAGTTTCTGAGCACGAGGAAGGCGTGATTGAAAATACATACAAACTTACTTGCGAACATGTTTTCCACGAATTTTGCATTAGGGGTTGGTGTATTGTGGGGAAGAAACAAACTTGCCCCTATTGCAAAGAGAAGGTCGATTTAAAAAAAATGTTCTGCAATCCGTATCCTTTTTATAAAGTGTTTAATGCAGTAACGAATATCTGACACTAATCTATCTATTGTATATACCTTAATAAATTATACAGATGGCAACGCCCACATGTCTTATACGGCCAACTGTTGGATTGGTTGAGATGGTTAGTTGCTTGGCAGCCTTTAATTTTGTTCCTAGTTCAAGGTATCAATTGGGCTCTGGGCCTTGAGTAAGTAATATTTGTTGCGAAAACCAACTGTTCTTATATGCACCATCGTTGTGTTATAGCAACGCTAAAGAAAATTATTAATAAATACTCTGTTTGTATTTTTGTATATGCTGTTACTATAATTTTGTTGTCTATAAAAAAAAAGTATTTTATTAGGTAGGAAATGCAGAATGCAAAACTAATAATCCTACTCGTGTCTAAACATAAAGCATCAGTGATAATAGCACATCAGCGTTAATCTTAAAAGATATACATCTATTTCTGTGGAAATAAATGTATATCTATATTAGAACAAATATATATAAACATTTTTAAACCAAAGAAATAGAACAGAAAAATTCTTTATAAATCAAATCTTATTCATATAAATATGAAAGTAAATCGTAAGGATCAATGATTAAAATTAACGTATATAACGTAAATATATATACCAAAAAAGCATGCCACGCATTAAGCAAATCATTAAGAGTGATGTAGTAAGCTATAAGATATATGGCGATATTTTTATATATTTTCTCTAAGGATTGTACGCATTTTGAAAATAAGAGAGACATTTGCTATCCTAGATAGTCTTAGGAGATATTTGTTATATAGATAATCTTTTATAAAAGACATGAGAAGGATTAAGTTATTGTACCAAATTTCTTGTATATTGTTCTATTTACATTAAATAGTCCGCCTTATCAGTTTTACTCAATCAAGTTATGTTATAATTAAATTAAAAGATAGATTGTAGCAATATATTGACATAAATTTCTATTATTAATTTATTGTCTATACATATTGTACAATTGTGTTCTGTAATTCTAATAATTCTAATAATGAATAACATTTTATCATTCCTGCCCGTAACGGGTGCTGCTTCCAGTCTTTGTTTTATCGGATAATATATAAAATTACAAGAGGAAGTTAACAAAAAGTGTATATGATATATCGTATGATTACTCACAATGTATTCATACGTTATAATCTATGCATATAAAACCATATTAGACTAAATGAAATAATAAAATATATGACAACGTAAAATGTGTATATCGTTATGTATGCATACTATTTTCGTTTAAATGATTTTAACGATTCTTTAGTAAATAATGTTTCGTAATAGTAAAATGAGAATTGAAAGAGTACAGAGTATTGAAAAATATAAGTTGTGATAATTATAGAAATATTTATTTATCACTCGTTCTTCTTTTGATTAGATAATAGATATCGATTGATTATAGAAGCACTATTTGATAACACATCCTTTCCATTAACTTATATTTTCTGTAATAAAATCTTTTAATGTGTATGAACATTACACAAATTATGTTACATGCTGCAAGCTTTGCGGCGTTTAAAGAAATGGTAATCAAACCATTATAATATGCATATGTAAATCAACAATTGTAATTTAGTTTCACTTAACAGTGTTGTTAATCGCTCTTGTTATATGTGTTTTTAAAATGTAACACGAGAGAGGGAAATTTGATAAATGTTCTCAGCAATTTAATTGTAACCTTTGGTTCTGTATCTGATTGAGCAAATATAAAATCCCTCAGCACATTATGCAGTTCGATAACAGAACCAACGGGAACGTAATATGTATTTCTTCCATCTTGTCTTTACACAGAAATACCATATAACACATTTGAACTTTTGTAAAGAACGAAAGCCACTGTCAAGAATATTTGTAATAAAATTATGTACATTAAATATACTTAGCTGTGGTACTCACTTCCTTTATATGTTCGATGTTTTTGTTGGTCTAATAATTTTCACAAACAGAAAAAGCTCGTATTTTGAATTTTCAAGAAGACTAATAATGGTTTAAAATTATATATAAAGCCCACGTTTCTTTCATTATTAATCTTCAACTATCGTTAACTCTCCTGCGGCTGAAAATGATTAACATCGTTAATACTAGAAAAATCGGTACTTATCTATTAGAATATAAAGTTTGTAACAGAAAATAACGATTGGTTTCCAGAGATATTTCTAAGAGATTTCTTTTTGTAAATTGCAATACTAATATCAATTAGCTTAATGCAGATACCTATGTTAATTGCATTGAAGTGTAAGAAATTCCGTGACAAATAGCGCTGTAAAGAGAGTTAATGTGTGCCTGCGCTGCTCGTAGACGGCATAGCAATATCTCCCTGAGCACAATCAATAGCCTGTTTATATTTAAGAGTTTTTTTTTAATTCAGCTGCGATTGTCTTTTCTTTCATATTCCTGTAATTTTTACAGAGCACCTCATATCAAGAAGGATCAGCATGAAAAATTGGTCGGCATAACAGATTAGCGTAACAGAATACCGCCGTATTGTCATATAGTTTCTCAGCTAGCACCGACAGATAAGTTCCTATTTACACACTCGCAGTCTCTGATAAGAGATAGCACACCAAGGAAAGATGTGATCTCGCGTTAGACGCGCACACAGTCCAACATTGTATATATGTATGTATGTGTATGTGTATGGGCAGTGAAAGAGAAAGAGAAAGAGAGAGAGAGAGAGAAAGAGAGAGAAAGAGAAAGAAAGCAATGACAACACTTGCTAGTGATATTACTAAAAGACTTTAATTAAAACTTTCTCGTTATTATCGATAGAAAAACAACTTTCATCACATCACGTATCCATAGGTACTTGTCAGACCACGTCGGACCCGTCGCGAGAGTATCGTATAATTCGTATATATATATATATATGTATTTATATTTATATACATATATTTATATCTGTATATCTATAGTCTAAAGTCTTTCGTGATTATCCGTGGGATGAAATTACGACTCGGCGCGTAAGGATTGGGAGTTGAGGTGACAGAGGCCTAGGGGTGAGGACACACTTAACGGTAGTCCCTTCAACGGGTCCGATAAACAGAGGTGTTTAACATTACTCGAGATTATAGTTCTTTTGGCTTTGTTGGATGGTTTTAGACGCCACGATACGACGGGATCGTCGGGATGGGTCCAGGGGCAGACATTCACAAACACGGGGAGATTTTATAGATATATTTATTGAGTACTTAGCGTGTAAGAGTATAGAATATATGTTACCTTACTGTTAAATATCATTACATGGTAAATATATTTATATATATATATATATATATTTATATCATGATGTAGTCTTTAAAATAAACCTTGCGCGTGGGCACGCGTGTGTGTACGTGTGTGTGTTTCAAGAGTATTTACATAATGATCGCAATTAATTATGTACAAGTTCACGAAAAACGAAAAAAAAAAAAAAAGTAAAAGAAAAATATAGACGAACGGGGCGAGCGTGCGTATCGGTCGTGTCGGTGATCGCCAGTTCACGCGTTTGCGAGGAAGTCCTTCGCTAGGATTTCCAGTGTGAAGATTCGGAGCCGCGTTCACCGTCACGCCAATGCCGAGAGTGAAATGCCAGGAAGGGGTTTTTTCTCTTGTTTTACGTTTTCGTTACCTCTCCGTGTATAAATTGACCGTCGTCTTTATATGAAAGTATAAAGGTCGCTACGGTGACATAATTCCTTTCATCTTTTTTTTTTTTTTTTTTACGGGCACAGGTGTACGAAACTACTATCGCTACGGATAATTGTAGGTACCCTAATTAACAACATCAATGTCGCGTACGATTGTGGATTTTTTTTTTTTTTACGTAGCAGCTCTCTTTCCCTGCGAACGATAACGGAGACTTCGCACAATACCGTGTTCAGAATACGATAAGTACTAAAGTCACAGCGAATGAGAGTACAAGTTGAAGATGAGAATTGCTACACAACATGTGGACTTAAATTAAACATAGAGCTTTTTCTGAACTTTTTGCAACAGTGTGTTTCGGGTACGGTAAAGTATATAATACATAGAAAATAATTACATATACAATATACAATATATAAGATTGCCGCAATTCATAATCAACAGCGTAGATCTTTAACATTTATCGTATTCGGAATAAAGCGAGGACTCCGTAATACGCGAATTACCGGTCGCAGGTTCCCGAGGAGCGTTTCGGCGTCGCGTGACGTTCAACGAAACGTTGCATACCGTTTTTCGATCGTATGTAATATGTACAAAAAGAAATATCACGCGACCGCCGCAATTTCACTGTGGCGTACAAAAAGAAGCGCGACGAGCACGTACGACGAACGGCGTCTCGGCTCGTCTGTATATATAAAAGAAAAAAAAGCGCACGACTTCCTTCCTTTCCCCTCGCAGTAACTATCGTTAACGCAACTCACGCGCATATTTATATATTTATATATTTATATATATATATTAATTTATATATATATCTCTTTCGCGCGCGTGCTCTCTAGCTTCTCACGCATCCTTCCTCACGCTTTCCTCACTTTTGACATATCATCTCTCGTTCTACCGTCGGCCCTTCAACGGCCGCCCAAGACATACACGATAGTTATGAAGTATTGCTTTTTCTTACTCGCGTATCGATCGCGCTTCTGCCGACCGCGATCCGGCATAACAATAATAAATTTTGCACCTTCCTGCGATGAGCCGCGCCGAGAATTCCGCTGCGCCTGTTTCTTTCCGATGCTTGGATTCCGAAATGTTACAGATATTCGCACAGAGTGTAAATACATTTGCTTAAATGTTGATAATAAAAAAAAGAAATAAGGATTACATTCTTACGTAATGTGAATAACACAAGTTTTTGTATATTTTTATAAAATTTATATAGACTTAATTAATCTGAGAATAATTCTTTAATTTTGCATATATTCGTAATCGCGTCTATTTTGTATCTTATAGAAATAGAATTAAAAGCGTCGAGAAATATCGGCAGGTGGAATTCACTCGTGGCTCTTGCGCTCGAAGGAAACATGCGCTAAGCGTAAAGTTAACTCGACAGTACAGGACTTTTTAACGTCGTATCATTTTTTCTGCTTCTTTTTCTCTCTCCCGTTTTTACGTATCGTTTTGCAAGACGAGTACACATAAAAAAAACCGCTTGCAGCCTTCGCCCGACTAGCTCGTTCGAGGTGTCGGGAAACGCTGCCGCATGCTGAGCGTCTCTACGAGCTACAATAATGCGCGCGTGTCGGGTAACGGCCTGTTAATGGACAACTCAGTAACAAGCGCTACGGGATTTCATCTCCTCGAAGTGCCGAAGAGAGAAACGCAATATCGAAGGGACACGGGTTACTCAAGGAGACGTAAAGAGAATCTTGCCTCGATTGATTTAAAAATCATATTTTAAACTGGCGAGAATGACGGTCTATCGACGAGAAATTAAGAAATTTCTAATATTTTTACGCCAAATAACTTTTCAGCCAATATGTACTCGAGACTAATAAATATTCTCGGTAGCCTAATTCAAGCCAAGTGATTCAACCCTTTTGTTATTAAAGGAATTGACAAAATTACTCGAAAAAGATTTTCCCAAGCAAACAATTTTCATCATTGTCGCGAATGTTGCTCTGAAGTATACGTTTCAGTATGCAAAGCGACGGTGAAAATTATCTACTTGAGATCACAATAATGTCGAGACACTTCTCTGGAGTAAATTTCGCTGAGATTTTGAAAGATTAATGTAGGCAAGCTCATATATTTCAAGCCGAGCCCGAGGCTTGATGGCGCTGAGCAATTTTCCGCGTTAAGCTACTAACTTTTGGGCCTTACTCTTGTTCTATTTATACGAAGGAAAATAAAATTTAGCCTCTGCATCGACGGTTTGACATACGGAATGAATCACAGATCGATATGCCTCGTCCAACCTCGGGCTTCTGTCTGAAGAAGGCGTTTGACGCACGAAAAGAATTTTTCTATTTAACTCCGAACGGAAATTTAGCGAAATAATAGGAATCCTAGCGGCGTATTTGCTATTTCGTATTATACAAATCTTATCAATTTCTTTTAATAAATCTATTTTTTTTTTAATGAAGAAAATGCGTGAGAAATTTAACGAAATTCAGCTGTTAATATCTTGGAGTTTGTGTAAGTATGATAACGATGCAGGTTTAAAAATATGACTTATGAAATATGACTTCGGAGAGTTACATGTTGTGAATTAATATCTAGCCGCTAAAATTCTTCTTGATTTCGTAGTAGAAAATGTTTCCTTTACGCGAGGATGTGAAGAGACTACTTTCGCGAACAGTGGCGTGTTGTCGGCTATACACAACAGATATGTACAGCGATGTTACTTGTAAGGTTCACTAGCACATTCCCTTAACCGTTCGCTAAACCCCACATTAAACTCGTCAACTAGTACGTAAGTTTGTAGTTATGATTATGTATGTTTTTTTTTTTTATTTATTATATATCGCCTACGCGGAACACAACGTGGTGGAGCTGCGTGGGCTCGCACGTTGGCTCACCGTGTACCCCTATATATATATTATGCGTTATATTCGTATTTTTTTGCGTCTTTACTTTCTATTAGTCGGTTACTTCATTCGACCCGAACCACAAACTTCGATCTACGCTTTTTACTTTTTTTTCTTATTTATCCAATATTGATAAACACCGACGAGTTCAGCTATATCAGTTACAGATAGGAGGGGTCAAAGGTTGTGCCCTGTAAAAAATAGGTGGATTAAGATAAATCGAGAATTTATTTCGATAATTTAAAATTTCATATCTGATCGTGAAAGCCGTAGATTGTTTTTAAAGTTTTCGAACACAGCGTGATGTCAACGTCGAATTTAATTCCGTATGAAAAATGCGATTTGTCGAAATTTTTGATAAAATGAAAAATGAAATGAACACGGAAGTAAAAGAATGGAAAAGAGAGTTGAACCATTGCGAAAAATCTATCCCCAATTTTGAAGAATAGGAATTTGTGACTCGACGAAACAAATCCCCGCATCAGGTCTCGTTAATCCATCTATTTTTTGCCGGGTGCTCTCTTCGGTGGAGCGCGGGGGTGAGGTTCTTTTTCACGGGGCGATCCCACATACACACGGTTACATAGGACTTCTTCGACGACACAATTCAAAAAATAATTTTTCATTTTTAGTAGAAAGATAGGCGGGGCATTTTTTCGTACAATGGTAATATTATCGTTTTCCATTATTATTATTATTATTACTATATTTATTATTTTTATTACTTATCGTTATCATATTATTATTATTTATTATTTCTTCTGGACATTATTACTTCGACGAATCCCGTTACGACTGTCGCTCGTCTCGTCATGTCATGTCATGTCGTTTCTTTACTACGCGACGATGTCACGTCGTAATAATTCTTATTACTCGTTTACACGATGCCGATACTATTTACACGCGTCTACTTTGTCTACGGCAAATCGTAGATTCGCTTATACCTCAAACAATCACGATCGAAATCCGTCAATTTTAAAATCTGTATAAAGTTGAAAATAGATAGTTTGAGAGGATAATTTTGCAACGATAAATCAAATAATTGTTTCTAATTATTTTCCGATTGCTATTGATTTCACACTCATTGTTCTTTAATGAGACTTCACGTTGATTATTAATATTATTATAGTAAAATATTAATATGTTTTATTTACGTTGCAAAATAGCTTTCTTTAAATTTATACATATGAAATATGTATGAAATTATATCTGAATATGGATTTTAGATTTGACAGATTTCGATTCCAGGTGCCGTATTTATACCTGACTCTGTAACACTCAATTATACGTTTGCACATGCCGGCGAAATCGTTGAAACCATGCCAATGGTGCGACTATGCATTCGGCCGATTTGCGAAGCGATGTGTGTGTGTGTGTCAATCGTGCGTAGGCCTGGATCGAGATTAACGTGAACCATCCGTTTCGCGCGAATGTCGCGTTTCCTTCTAACGAAATCTCCCATTTAATTCTCACAATTTTTCATCGAAAAAAAAAAAAAAATCGCGACGCGTCTCGATAATTCTGCGACTTTCCCCACCGCGAATATTTCTCGCGTTCGCGTACATTTCGGGGACGTTAAGTTCCTACAGCTTCATGCGTGTGTCGTGTTTTCTTTTCTTTGTATACATATAAAAAAGCGGTATCGACAGTTCCACTTGAGTTTACGACCGTTCTCGCGTTACGATATTTTATCTACATTTACCATTAAGTTCGAGTAGCTATATTTACAATTGCTCGTCTCGCATCTAGTACACCAATTTGCGCCATGTTAAAAATATCTGCTGTATATCTGTTCTCCATGTTTCTTTTTTTTTGTCTCTTTCTCTCCCTCTCAATCTCTCCCTCGCTTCTCTACGGCGTCTCGCGACGCGACCTATACGGCGACGTCCACGGACGCTTTGTCGAACCGAGTGTCCACCCTCAAACGAATGCGTTTTGACTAGAGATGCGAGGTGAGAATATTCCGAGCAGAGTTTTTTTGTTTAAAAACTGACGTTTGGAATCTCAGAAAATTTATTTATCTTTGTATTGAAAATTAATCCTCTCGCCTCGCATCTTCTAACTTCGACGCGCCGATCTCGACGCGTCTCGCTTCCGCGCGCGTGTGTCTTGTAGACCCTGTGTTGCGTGAATAACGCCAACTCGAATTCGACCGACGTTCTGACGAAAGTCCGAGACACGTATTTCCTCCCACCCTTTTCTTTATTTTTTTTTTGCAAAAACACTATCGGATTTCGTCGCGGACGGCACTTTGAGAGTTCACGCATGCACTTTCGTCCTGTCGCACCTCTACGCGTCGATCCGCCATCTCTCTTTCTAATTTCTCCCCTCCCTGTGTCTCTCATTTTCTCTCTTTCCTATAAACTAATCACCATGTAACAAGCTTTATATTCTTCATTTCGTTAATAATGCGACTAGCTTAATTTTGACACTTCGTGATCCGTGCTCACACCCGTCGTCCCGGCATGCGCGGCCATCGATCTAGGATCTGGGATCGATCGCGATCGCATGGGCGCGCTTCTATGGCACATCGACGAGGGTAAGTTGTACCGGACACAAGACGCATCGCGCGTCCGTGGTCGCGCGTGGTAGATCTACGCGTCTTTTCGCGACGACGAGCGCGGGGAGAAGAGGTCGAAAGGAGAATCGGGGAGAGAAGGGAGCGACGACGTCGGCCGCGCGCGCGGATTGCAGCTTACGCAAGGTTTGCGGTGGCAGTTAGGACCGTTGCCCACTTTTCCACCGACACACTGCTCGCTCCCCTCCTCTCCCGTTCCTTCGTGCTCGCATCACGGATTCACGCGCGAATCAAGTCCCAAGCGATACTCCGAACTCGCGTCGTGACGTCCTCAAATCACGAGTCGTGCCTGTGAGTCCTGTTGCGCCTGTTGCCGCTCTTCCGCCTCTTCCTCTTGGTGTCGCGGGTGAACGCGACGTTGCCGGGATCGTCGGCGAGCTGGGGATACCTGTGCACGCTGTGAATATCGACGCCCTCGTAGCCGTCGACGGTGCCGCGGCTGATGAGCTCGTCCTTCTCCTCCTTCGACCAATCACCCCGGCCCTGGAAGCCGGCCATCACCAGCTGCTTCTCGATTTCCCACGCTCTCTCCACGGCCCGTTTGTGCGCGTGCTTTAGAATTCGATGCCGTTCCTGCTCAGGATCGGCTCCGTACTTGATCACCACCGCCGCATCCGGATTGTGAAGCCTCAGCTCCTTCCACGTACCGGCGCCATGCTCCGTCGTCTCGTGCGTGGACACGTTAAACATACCGCCGAGCCGATGGAGCTCCTCCATGTCGTCGCGGATCTTCAGCGCGTTGTCCTTTACGAAGTAGAAGACGTCCTGATCGTGCACGCTGAAGTGCAGCGGCAGGAAATACGAGTTGTTGAACACGGATGTCACCACGTCCTGCACCACGCTGTTCACGCCGTCCACCACGCTCACCAGAGCGCGGCTGCCGACGCGCGACACCAGGATACCCTCGCCGAAGACCGCCCGGCGATGAGCCACTCGCGGGAGCAAGTTTCTCGTCTTCGGTTCCAGCTTCAGCAACGGTTTCGGTACGAAGTCCAAGTCGGAGAACTTCTCCTGCACGTGATCCACGATGCACTGCAATCCGGACATCACGCCGAAGTCCGGAGTGAGTTGCGGCGATGTGACCACGGCGTTCGGCTGATATACCATCTCCTTCGTGTATTCGGAGCCGAGCATCGTCGAGATGTCGTAGCCGTAAAGCTTCAGCCAGCTCGTCAGATCCGTCATATACTCAACGTTCTGTTTGAAATTGATCGGATCGTTGTTACGGAAGCGATAGATGAAGATGTCGGTCGGTGTGGTGAGCTTATTGGCCATTTGCTCCCAGGCCGGCGTCATCCACTGACCGACGGTCGGATCGTACAGTCTCTTGTTCAAGTAGATCAACTTGGTGTTGGGATCTAGAAGACCACCGTGGAAATCGATCGGCAGATAGAAGTCCGGATTGGTATCCTTGATGATTTTGCCGAACGGCGTGCGGCGCATCTCCTTGATGAGATTGCCGTTGGTGTCGAAGAGAGCGAGCGGCGAGCCGTTTTGATCTGTCGCGACGTAGAATCGTTGCTCGGATGTCTCCACGGTCATCAAAAAGTCGCGCGAATCGTATAGGAACCGGAATGTCTTGGACAATTTCGGGAAATGTACGTGCGTTATCAGATCAGGAGTCTTCGGATTCGCGTAGAAGAATTGAGTGATGTTCTCGCGGTCGTCGTTCATCGACACCAGTCGGCCACGATCGTCGTAGAAGTACCAGATCTGGAACTTCTTGTGCTCCGAGGCGTGAATCAGCTGACCGCGCGAATTGTACCTGAGAAGAAATTTGATGTTTCATTTATGTGCATTTATTAAGGTACTTTTAATTAACATTATGTAGAAGTTTTGTATGTGTGTGAAACTTTCATTAAAAAAAGAAATTTCTTCGTAAATTAAATTATTTTAATAGAAATAAATTTCAATTATATTTAATAAGTAAACTTTTATGTTTGTTATAGAAAGATTAATCACAAAAATATTCTCATTTTCTAATTAAACAAAAAAATTCTTAATTAGATTTAAAAAATACATACCTATATTTGTGTTCTCCGCGAATCACGACGAAGCCACGTCCGTCGTACGAATTGAACTCAACGTCACCGTATTGAACCACTCGGTCGCCGCTGTCGTAGCCCAAAACGATCTTCTCATTATGCTCGGTCACACCGATCACATTGCCGTTCTCGTCGTACGCGTACTGCCAGTTGTTTTCAGTATCCGCGACCTCCAATACATGACTGTCCGCATTATAAGTGATCTTCTCCATTCTGGACCATTCCTTCTTCTCCATCGATTCCTTTCCGATCGTGAGCTTTCTCATGTTGATGCGATTGCGACTATCGTACTCGAGCTCCATGCGGAACACGTCGAACGATCTGATATTCATCAGCACCGTCTTGACGCGACCGTGCTCGTCGTAATCCGTGACCGTGAAGAACTGTTTGCTGTTATCCTGCATGACCGATCTATTGAAGAGATTCCTGTATATTCTAAGATCGCCGGCGCCCTCCAACACGCCGAGATTCTGGCTGTACTTGAGACGAAGCTGCGGCAATTGTTTGCCATTGATGTCGACCTCGATACCGGATATGCGCGCGTTACCATCGTACTGATAACGATAATGAGCGTTGTCCATGCCGCTCTTGCTGCCGAACTTGATCTTCTCGTCCTTCACAATACCGGCGTGATACTTGTACTCAATACGCATCTCAAAGTTGGGTTCATTGATGTCGATGCTACGCACCAGACTGGTCGTCTCTTGATAGGTGTAATGTATCGAGGATAGTCCTGAGAAAAAAGATTCGTGATTTATTAGCTAACAAATTTAATTTCTAACATTTTCATTGTGTTTTATATATTGAAATATATATGAATAATATTTTCTCTTAATGAGCATTGTTAAAATTCGATTTGGAGAAGAGAGAATGAATATTATAATATTCATCAATAAACAAATAATAATTTTAAAATGCTGAGCTCACCAAACTTTATATTATACAATTACAATGTCCAATATTGAATAAAATGTACATTTTAGCATTCTGGATTATTTCTTTCTTTAAAATACAACATTTCAATTGGAGTAAAAAAAATGTACATTTCATTCATTTTTATGTTTTAGAATCTTATATCATATCATTCGACAGACGTAGAACTTTACTGCGATGCACTGAAATCTTATATTTTAAAGAAAGAAATGGTCTAGAATGTTAAAATATACATTTAATTTATTTTTATGTCTTATAATGTTATATCATAACACATTAATTAGGTTAGGATTTTAGAATGTACATTTTCTTCATTGTGATGCATTGAAATTTTATATTTTAAATAAAGAAATGGTCTAGAATTCTAAAATATAAAATTTTAATACATCGTAGTAAAGTTTTAGACCTACCAAATGATATGATATAAGATTCTAAGGCGTTCTAAGACAAAAAATAAATAAAATGTACATTTGAATATTAATGTATATTTTATTCATTTTTATGCTTTAGAATCTTATATTATATCATTTGACAGGCTTAGAACATTATTACGATGCACTGAAATTTTATATACTACAATTCTAGGCCATTTCTTTACGTACAATATTTATTCTGTATATAAAAAGATTTCAATGCCTTGCAATAAAAAAATGTAAATTCTAAAATTCTACATATTTTTCAAATGTTATAATAGAAAATTTTGAAGCATAAAAATGAGTAAAATAAAATAATTTAAAATTTAATACTAAAATAATTTCGATTTTCTACAATAAAATAAGAGAAATATTTTACAAAATTATTTTAGTCATACAAACACTTACCAGCAAGTGTAGTTTCAAGTTTTCCAGCATGATCATAAACATAAGCGACCTTTCCGCTTTGATGAGGGTACACTTTACCAAGGATCTGACCATCGTCGTTATAAAGAATCTCGTACGGATGCCTATTCATTGGTGAATAGTACTGGTACTTATAGAATCCGAGGGACGTTTGAAGAGAGAAAGTATGAATGTGACCTCTCGGTGTTGTCAACGACTGTAATGCCCCCGCCTCGTCATACTGAAGAAGATAATCGCTTCCCCGCGGCGTAGTGACCTTCAGTGGCAAACTGCTAAACATATCCTTAAAGGCGTACACCATTGATGTACCATCACTATATTTAATCTCGTACAATCGACCTGCCCTATCGAAGCCGTACGTTTCGCTGATGTCGCCCCACGTCCAGCTCGTCAATCTGCTGAATCGATCGTATTCCAATTCGACGCCGGCGAAAATACCGTTCCTCGGACCCCATTTAACAGGTCTCGCTGTTCGATCGTATGTGACGTTCAGCAATTCCACTCGATCGTCTATGAACACAGCCACGGTGTTTGTTTCTCTATCGTATTCGAGAGACAGTAGAATCTCGCCGTTGACTCGGAGCTTCCTGCCGACTTGAGCGATCGCCTTCGAGTTGCCGCGATTCTTATTTCCCTGTATTTTTCGCAGGAAGTACCGCCATTCGAAACGATTAGCTAAGTCTCCGGCGACCTCCGTCCTCTGTTTCGCCGGCACGGGATAGCTCTCGCCGAGCAGAGGTTCGACTTCCGCTAGGATCGAGTATGGCATGGTATCGGTGCTGACGGTATGAGCCCACGGTGTTACCTTGCCGACCGAACCGTCGGCGAGGACCATCGTTCTCTGCTCGGCCTCGCCCACCTTCGTCACGACGGACGATCCCTTGATCAGCATCGAAATCGGCTTCCTGTTGTTCTGTCCGACCTTCACCACCGCGCCCTTCAGACTAAGATCGAATGTCAGGCTGATTACTTTGCCCGTGGGAGTCACCGCGCTGGTCAGTCTGCCGAATTCATCGTAATTGTAGACGTAGCTGCGGCCGGTACTGTCGAGCTTCGTCTTCAGCAAGCCCGTAGGCCCGTGATAATCGAAAGTGACGTTGTAATTGTCCGGCGTGCTCAGCTCGTGCAGCATTTTCATCCTGGACATTCTCAGTCTGCACTTCTGGCCCTTTGTGTTCTCGATCGAATTCACTTGACTGCTGTAGTCTCTGAGGAGGAAGACCTTGTTGCCGGCTGCGTCTGTCACCGTGCTGAGCTTGCCGTTGCTGGTGTTAACGTTGTAGCTGAAGAGATATACGGTTTCGTCGGTGAGGATGTTCTTCGTGGCAATGTGCTGGCCGAATCTGTTGAACACGTAAATCTCTTGCGTGTCCGGCGAGAAGATCTCGTACTCCCTCGCGCCGCTCGCGTCAGGAATACTCGCCGTCACCGAGCGGATGCGATAATTAGCCTGATCGCCGATGTGCACGACACCGTCGGGCGAAACCGCCACGGCGGATATGGTGTTGAATTTCGAGGTCGACGCCAAGTAGTGATCGGCCTCGAAGCAGTCGCAACCGCGTTCCAAGCAGTTGCATTTGGACTCGGCGCCGGCGTACGGTGATATCTTGCCGTCGGTGCCGATTACGCGTACACGATTGATCCTCTGCGAGTCGCTCTCGGCGATGTAGAGATCGCCCGACGGTCCGAACGCGATACTCTGCGGCATCACGAGGGTGGCGTGCGTGGCGAGTTCCGTGTCGAACGAGGCCGACGGCGAGGCGCAGTGAAGCGGACGCCCAGCGACGACTTTCACGCGACCGTCCGGCGCCAGCTGCAGGACCATGTGATCGTCGATCATGTGCAGCGAGTTGTCCAGAGGGTTGATAGCCAATTCAGTCGGCCAGCGCAGATGAACTTCCTCGACGTTCAGCGTTCCCTCGCAGGGTATAGGCTTCCAGTGCGACTTGTGCATGTGATTACCGATGACGGTGGTAATAATGCCGTCTCTGTCGACCATTCGGATGTTCGTGCCGTCGGCGAAGTACAGAACGTTGTCGACGGAAACGGCGACGCCCTTGGGATAAGCGAGTTTAGCGTCTCGTGCGAGCGCACCGTCGCCGCAGTGAGCCTCGTCGCCTGGAAGGCAACGTTCCCCGGAGCCGACCACCGTCTCCCAGTTGTGATCGGGATCCGTGTAGTCGCTGGTGTCGCGAACGCGGATGATCTGGTGGGATTCCGGATCCGATATGTAGAGAACGCCGTCCAGTGGGCTCAGAGCGATGTGATAACGATATGACACTCTGGTTGCGCTGCGAAAAGAAACAAAAAAAGGTTAGCCATTTGAAGCACAATCGTCGTGCGTTAAAAAAAATTCAAGAAATTAAAGAAAGAAGATTCTAATCGCAATTAATATGAATAATAAATAAATAAGTAAAACTAAATGACACCAGTTACGTACTTTAGTCGGACCACAGTTCGAACTGTTCCGTCGACGAGGATCTTTCTGACCAGATTGAAATCACCGACGAAGATGGAGCCGTCTGCGGCAGTTGCGAGTGCAACAGGCGCCAAAAGACGTTGTTTGGAAGCTTGCCCATCACAGTCATAACACTCCATCGGCCTCTGATGACCGTCTCCCATTGTGGTGAGAATAACTCTCGGCTTGTGCTTCAGATAAATATTCGAACCGTCTCCCTTCTGCAGGATACCCTCGTGGAAGTTGTATCTGTGATGAATGTCCAAATTCCAGCCGCCGACCTCCGAGATGGACATGTCGTGGCCGCTCAGCTTCGTCGTTTGCACGTCCCAGATGATGTCCTTGCAGTCGCTGTACTCGTAACCGACCTTCACCATGGCGGTTGTGACTCCATAAACGCGCTGACGATAAACGTTCAGCCGGTTCCACGCGTAGGTGAACTTGATCACGGGATCGGCCTCGAAGGTCTTCTCGAACAGGATACCCTCGATTGTGATTCTCAGGTGTATCAGATTCAAAGTCGCCGGTATGACTTCCGGAGTCAGCTGCAGCTGTATCGTAGAGAGGTAACCGGCCGCGCGAGAACTGTGATACACCAGATTCAGACCCGTTCCGGGTATCTGCAAGCTCTCCTGTATCACCTGCGACTCCGCCAGAATTGTGCTCTTATCCGGGCAGGATCCTTGGAATCCGTGCTTCCAAGTCGCCAGGACAACCGGCTTCATGAGATCGTAGTCGTGAGCCGCGCACGCGTGTGAAATGTGCACCGGTGGCTTCTCCTCGGCAGTGCTCATGACGATCTTGTTGATTATGATAACCTGAAACGAATTGTACCTTTATTAGTATTCGTCTTCGATTCTAAAGCGAACTTCAGAACTTGCTGGACGCCAGAATAGATTTAATCACACGTTGTAAGAGAGTAATTATTAAGTCAATCAATTTTATGGTACAAGATTTAGTCAGTTTAGCCAGCAGTTTCGACGGCAGTTCAGTCAACTTCCAGTTCGGAAGCTGAGTGTAGTTCGATGATTAATTCAAATTTATACCCACCTCGTTCCAAGGCACGAAGACGATATGGCTCTGCGGCTTGAAAGGCGACCTGCCGAATTGCAGAGTTACGGCGCCGCCGCCGTTCACCAGGAGATCGAACCAGCCGTCGTCTCTCGTGAGAGTGAAGCCTTCCAACGGTGTGCTCGTGCTGACCCGCACTCCCATCAATCCCGTTCCAAGATGCGTGACGACGCGACCGCGTATAACGGCCGATCGGCTGTTTAGACAATAATCATTGTAATCGCAGGAAAACTCGCGGGCGAATCGATACTCTAAGATCACTTTGTGTGTCTCGACTACCAACAAAGCAATCGCTATTCTCTAGGCTAATCTCAATCTACTACGTTTTTTACTGTTCACAATTCTTGAACATTTTCGTGAACGTCGTCGAAAAGATACTGTCAGTTTATAATGTTGATTGAGATATCTGACGAAATAGTTTCTTGTTAAATAAAACAGGACGAAGAAATTAAATACGTACCTTTATATTTTTATGAATTGAAATTATTCTTATTAAAAATTTATGTAGAAGTATATAAATTAAAATTTAAGAATGTATTGGAGAAAACAGTGTTAATTATTTTTATTAAAAAAGTAATGACGAAGAAAGGGTGTAAAAAACGTTGGGTAATATTCTTCAAGTGCTTCAAAAATAAATCTTAAGATTGATCCTCGGTTAAATGGATCGATATATGCGTTGGGGAGAATCGCTATAATTAAACGCAACGTGCACTCTTTCCCGGGCGTTTAAAAGAGACAGAAGCAATCGAGATAAAATTGCACCGGAGGGTAATGTGCATTCATTTACATGTGACAGAATCCTTTCGCCGCTTATAAAAGTATCTCGATATCGGGCATTGATCGCCATCGCGTATGCAAATACGCGGTAAATATTCAACGCGACGTACTTTCGTCAATTTTGCTTCTCAGTGCTAAAGAGGAACCACTCGACTCTTCAATCGTCCGCTGCGCGAATAACGGCGAATGTAAATCGCTGCACCTCTCCTTTTCTCGTTTCGGCGCAATTTTCAGATCTCTCTGTCAAACCGTACTTGCCGTCTTTGAACGGAATACAGTGTTACGACAGTCGAACTTTTGCAATCGTGTGCCTCTTTGGCACTGGAGCATATGGTCGAGGACAAGTCACTACTTATATATACGTACAGTTTATATATATATATATATATATACACACGAATAACACAAAGTCAGAAGCTCAACGTAAAAGGCACGAAACACAACGTAGGAATCAAAAGGTAACTGAACCATGCAACATGAGAATGTGTTCAACAACAATGGAGGACGAAGTGCGAGTTCGAACGATCGTGGAATGTGTTTCAACTGTCACGACGGAAGCTCTTAGAACATGTATCATGAACCGCGCATATCTCATCGAGATTTCCAAGTTGATGTAAAGAACATAGATATCATCAGGATCAATGAGAGATCGTTTCTCATTAATCCTCGATATTTATTTATTTTTTTTCCCCCCCTATCATCTTGAAAGCGACCGATGCTAGAGATGCGTGGTGCAAAAGTACGTGATCTAAAGAGAGACCCGCTGAGACTCAATCAAATCGAGAGAGGTCAACGTTCTCAGGCGCAGTCGAACGCACACGCGCACGGCTCGTCGCGATCAGGATGCAGGATGTATTTATGTACACATACGTGAGAGATACCAAATGCACGAAAATATTATCAAACAGCAGCAGGTTTTTTGTTACCGCTACGGATCTCATTACGGATCCTCGTTCATTTAGTCGAGCTTTATCGACGTCTGGTTTTCTTACCTTGTGTTGAAGTGATTCCAGAACATACTGACCGGGCAGCACGGATAAAACAGAGCCGAGTTAAAATGATGCGATTAAAGGCGAAAATAGGAGATCCGGGACGAAGGATCAGGGAGAGAGAGAGAGAGAAAGAGAGAGAGAGAGAGAGAAAAAAATGCCGAAGGATTTCCAGAGGTTCGGGAATGAAAATATAGAAAAGTCTGAGGAAAACTTTCCGCTTTTATGAAGAATTTCGATACGTCGCGTCTCGGGATTACTAGAATTCGCTGGTCCCCTTTCCGATGGACCTGACGCGTCGGGGAGAAAAAAACTGTCCGGTTATTGTATCCCCTTCCCACCCCCTTAGCCGGCATGATGAGCGAAAAGCTCGAGGCTTAAACATGGACTCACACATTCACGCAAGCTCCACTCGGACGGACATGAGAAAGAGAGAAAAGAGAGAAAGAGAGAGAGAGAGAAAGTCGAAAGAACGGGAGGGGTTTGGACTGATATACCGATAGATAGATTCGTAAGGGACTGCGATAAAGATCGGGGTAGATGGAGAAAGAATAAAAGAGAGATAAATAGATAGAAAGAGATAGAGATAGAGTAGGAGGCGGGGGGCAGGAGGCAAGGAGGAAAGGGGTTTCAGTGCAGGGCACACGCTCGCGCACACGTACGTACAAAACATATGTAGAAAACTGTTGGGATGTGATTTCACACGGGTCACAACAACGCAGATATAATATATTGAAATCTATGTATGCATCCTCGTGTCTGTACTGTTGGTAATACACGTGTACTAAGGGAGAAAGAGATTGTACAGGGGTATGCGTGTATCTTGTAATATGTGCGCGCGGTGGCAGCTAAAGATTACCGGGTCCCTGCGAGAGAGAGAAGCCAGGGACCCTCTTCTCTCCTGTGCACGCGCTTCTTCCCGCTTTAGTTAAAAATAGAGATCGATCGGCTTTGTACGACTAATCTTTCAACCGATTCGGTTCCCGGCTCGAGTCAAAGGGACCGTAATTCGTATTATTAATAACCGTTAGTCGTCCCGTCGAGCATGCAACTTTCTCGACCTTCGCGATTGGCACGCTGTACACGGGGGGCTTTCGCAGATCCCCCCATGCATTTCCTTTGTAATCTTTTACTTAATTTGGAATAGGCGTGATCTTGATGAACCTGTTGAGGCATAATTTCTACGTTATAAAAAAATCTCGGAAATTTTTACAAGCTTCGAGACAAATTAAATCGCAAAATCGTATTTTTTCGAGACCACTTTCAGTGAATTTTACGTCATTCATGTTTTTATTTAATGATTTAATCGCAAAGATGTTGAAAAGTTACTAAAGATAGCGTTTTATCAAGTTTTGCCGAGAAAAATCGATTTCGTATTGTTCGGGAAATCCACACCGCAAAAAGAAGCATAAAGAATCTTGAACACCCCGTATAGTGTCAACGACTGATGTGTTCCTAATGCTGCCATTTTCTCATGATCGCGCGTGTGTTGAGGTTTTTTTTTTCATTTTATTTCTTTACTCAGAGACACGCAGACTATAGACGCAACATCGATCTCGGGACGGACAAATTTCGCTAACGATTTCAACGCGGAGACGACGAGGACCATGACGACGACATTGGTCGCAAGGACGAGAGGGGAAAGTCTCGCGACGATCGACGGCGAACTTACCTCTCGTTGAAGGTCTCCTGACGAGCGTAGTTCTGCAGACTGCCCTCGTCGATTAGGAACTTCATTCTCTCGAAGAAGGAAGCAGTGATGGCGGGAGGCTGTTTCCGTAGCAATATATCGATTGGCTTAGGCGCCGCGACGCACAGCTGGCTGCTACGGCATATGTGATTTGAGCAACATTCCGGATCCGCGCAATCAACGAGACCATCTGAAAAAAGGCACATTATCTTCCATTGCAGTTGCGAAAAAAGAATACGAACAATGCTTAATTTTGAATAAATATTCCCAATATAAATACTTTTGAGAAATGCAATTGTTAAAAATTCGTCTTTACTCCTTTTTAAGCGTAAACTTAAATAGATTATATTCATTTTTGAAATTTGTAATGCAAAATAAGAATTGTATAAAGTATAAGTAAAAATAATCCTTTTCTTTGAGATGCGATTCGTTAACAAAACATTCTGAATTAATAGCAAAAGTGAATTTGAGCGCTGTACCTTTATCGTTGTCTCGCCCATCGTTGCAGTTCTGTTCAAGAAGCACGCTGCAATCCTTGCCGTCCCAGCCGTCGTAGCACTGACACTCCCACTGCCCGTCGTTCGACACCCTGCACTGTCCGTGGCTGGAACAGGAATTTGGACAGCCCTCCATCGTGCAGTGTTTTCCGTTCCATCCGGTTACGCATAGGCACGTGCCATTCTTGCATTGTCCGTGCTCGTTGCATCGGGGATCGCATTGTTTCAGATTGCATAATTCGCCGGACCAACCTGGCGAGCAATCGCAGGCGTTGTCCACGCAGTGCCCGTGAGGACCGCAATCGAGATCGCACAGTTCTGAAACACCATCGAAACGGAAAGTTAGAGAGCGAAGCGATCGCAAATACGGACGAATGTGTTAGTTTCGAAGCGACAACGCAGAAGCCGGGAGAAGTAAAGCGATGATCTACATCTCACAAGTGAACGAAGCTAGAGGGGGAATCTAAAAACAAAGTGGACAGTTACTCAAAAGAATCTCGTAAGAATTACTTCGCAAGTTCTGTCGCCATCCAGACCTGGAAACACAGGAACTGTCAGTCCGCGGAGTGCACGAACGTACGATCGATATGTTTAACCCCAATTTAGTATTAGTTACCTCCTAAATAGCGATATTCTAATTCCGAATTTACGTTAAACGTGAAGATATTTGTCAGCATTTGATTTTAATATATCTATTATTTTTTTAAATTTCAATATATTTTTATAAAAATCAGGTACAAGAATGTTTTACGTAAAACAATTAATTGCTATAATTAAAAAATATTTGTCAGAAAAATATAAAAAACAAAATTTTCGAAATTTAGCCACCAGTAATTATTTCTGTAATGTTTTTCCAACTAAAAATCTCTCAGCTGTTTACACTAGCCAGTTGTTTTTTTCAGAACGCTAGATTTTCGATTATTTAATGTATAAATAATGTTGATTAAATTTCTCCTTTTACCTTTCGAGCAATCATCTCCGGACCACATGGGCTCGCAGAGGCAGGTCTGGGTCTCGAGATCGAAATTTCCGTGGCCGCTGCAGTCCGGCAGGCACTGCAGTGCCTCCTTGTCCATTTGACTGCAGTCGGCTCCTTTCCAACCCTTTTTACAGATGCACGTGCCCTCGGCGCAGAAACCGTGGCCCGAGCAAGTCGGATGCGGACAGTCGACCTCCTCGCAATACTTCCCCTTGTAGCCGCGTACACAGTTGCACTTGCCGTTCGTGCAGTGGCCGTGTCCGTTGCAGTCGGGCACCTCGCACTCGTCGTGCCGCAACGAGCACTCCTTGCCCTTCCAGCCGGGATTGCACTGGCACTCGCCGTTTATGTACTCGCCTAAATCGAGACGACGGAACTCAATTTAACGAGGCAGACCAAAATTATTCACGCGCGCAGTATTTGCAAAATTGCTTTTCAATCAAAACTTTTTGGCAATTAAAACTCGACGCGATATACACAGTTGTCGTTGCAATCTAAGCTGCACCGAAAAAGTACACGCGCGCGTTTCAATTTACTAAATCCGAAAATCACACCGAGTCGCCGTTGCGCTCTTCTTGAAATCGATTACTTGCAACGTTTTATTTTAGTATTTAAATAAATGTGGATACATATCTCACGAGAGCGCTGAGAGAGAGAGAAAGAGAAGGAGAAAACGGTACACCAAGCACCAGGAAATTAATATGTATCGCGACTGTTTGGAAAAGTGTAATACTGAAGCGAGTGAAACGTAATCGGCTTTGATTTCTATTTAAAAGAAATCAATAAACGAAGCCGTAACCAGGCTTGGTTTTTTTAATAGGTTAAAAAATCTACCAATCGTTATTTCTTTCTATTTCAATAGGATTTCAATCAAACCCGTAACCAATAACCGATTTTTGAAGTTTATTAAAATTCCAATACGGATTTCAATTTAATGTTATTTTAACTAAACGATTGAATCCTATTATCGCAAACTTCTCAATATTTTTACAGGAATAATAGCGCATAATAATTACATACAAATAAATATAATAATATACAAAAATGAATATGAATTAACTTACAACCGATATTTGGACAGTGAAAATAAACAATTGATTTACTTTTCGTCGGAATGACATTAAAACAAGCTCACCTCTTTGACTGCAAAGAACCGGGCAGACGCTCTCGCTGCAGTCTTCGCCGCCGAAGCCGGGGTTGCATTGGCAATGGCCTAAGAGACACTCACCCTTGCCGCTGCAGCCGTTCGGACAGTTATGCGTCATATCTTCGGCGATTACAGCGATAAACGAGACTTCATGAGGATCTCCGTCGTCGTTATAAAGCGAGAGAAACCAATGCCCGGGCTCCATGTACTGAGTTACCTCTTTCTTAATCGAAGGCTGTAAAAGCGTTTGAAGTCGATTAATATCCGCGTAATCTATCGTCGTTCAAATCTGATCGTATCAGTTTGATCAGTTTTTAAGAGGAGGAGCGGATAGAAAAAGAAAATATATAAAAAATAGTCTATTCAAGACTATCGGCATGGCAGATAAAAGAGAGAAATAAAAATAGGGTAGCGGCACATACAATAACACTAACATGGGACGCCCTGGTGGTTCGTGCTTTGAAACCGCTGAGCACCTCCAGAAGATCGTACTGCGTGTGCGTGGGCAGCGCGTTCCTTCTCGCGTACACGCCGATGCTGGCACCGCGCGGAATGCTGTAGTCGAAGCGCACGTAGGCGGCCTCCGATTGGTAGAACTGCATGTTCCAGTAGCCGTACGGCGGTATCTCCTTGCTGAGCTTCTGTCCTAAACCGACCTGGGCGAAGGTCGTCCCGTCGGGCGGAAAAGACCTTGCCGGGAAGGTTCGCGAACCTACAGATACACGAGTCAAAATTAGTAAAACGATAAACGATCACGCTCGGATTGCTGTCGGATAATGTAAATCCAGATTGTCATTAGTGTGGCTTTAGTGTAATTAATTCAATTATCTATCTACGATTAGAAGAGAATTTACACCGGCCAAAATTGATTCGAATTAAACAGCTGATGTCTTAAAAAAAGTAGCATTAATTTAAGTTTAACGAGGCATCGAGATTACATTATCCGACAAAAGCGAAAATTCTCATTCAAAAGTTAAATATTCTTTAGTTTAAACACAGATGCTTCTACATGTCGGCACTTTGTGTAAATTACTTCTTTTCTCTTTATCTCATTTTTAAACAGATTATTTATACTTCTGTTATCAGTTATTTCACAACAAATACAACTGAATAATTTTCTTCACCCTTATGTAAAATTACCGATCACCATTGCTAACGGCTATTTAATCATGACATTCCGTGCAGGAATTGAAGGGGTTCTCGACTTAAAATTACGTCACCGCTACAACAATCTACATAAAATTACGCTACTCACTACAAAGCGCATTACAATGACTACAACAATGCAAATCAACACAAATCCGCGACCGGCGCCCACGACAAGCAAAGAAGTGAGCATTAGCATCAGAAAAGAGAAAGTGAAAGTGCTCGAAGAGAAGAAGATAAGTGGTTCCAGAAAGAGAGTGAATAAAGAAGGAAAGAAAAACAATAGTAAACGAGGCCTCACCTTCGAGGATTAGTATAGTGGGCTCTGGCGGGAGCGGAGTCGTCCCCGAGCAGGCCCACATATTGGTGCTTACTTCCGGTTCGTAAGTCGACGAAGAAATCGTCTCGTTGTCTGACTCGCTAGTCTCCGTGACGTCGTCCGGCGACGAAGAATAGTAGTCTTCGGTGGTGGAACTCGCGTCGGATCTTACCGAATCTTTCGTGGAGGATTCCTCGTTTCGTTGCTTCGTGTCCGAGGATTGCTCGGCTAACAGAAAAGTGGAGTTAACGTCGTCGAGCTCCTGCTCAGGATTGTCATCGATCGCTGAAAAGTTGTCCCACTCATCAGAAGACGAGCCCATGCAGGGGCAAGAGCACTCGCACTCGCCACCCGCCCAGACCGGCGGTGCCGGCGGCGAGGCAGGTGGCTGCGGCGGTGGCGGTAATCGCGTATCAACTGCGTGTATCGACTCGGCCGCGTCATTAGCAGGGATTTTTTTCATGCTGGCTGCGTATGACTCCGGAGGCCGCTCGTGCACCTGCGCTTGATTGATGTTAATCCCGGACGTACGGCCGGCCGCGTCGCTCTCCGTCGGCACGGACACCGACAGGACGTACAGCGGCCTCGGGGAGGCGGAGTCCTCGGTAGCGATCGTCACGTTTATAAGCACTCGATGCGGCGATGAGGATGATGAAAACGACTGACTGTCCGAATGAGCGTCGCGGTACACCGGCACCTCCACGATCTGCACCCGTTGAATTATCGGCGAGTTAGACGGATGATCTGCGTTAGATGCGGAATTGGATGACGCGTCGCCCGATGAATCATGCATCGTGTTGTCATGCAGAGCGTCGGTCGCAGATGAATTACGGTCGGTTTTAATCGACGGGAAATTTTCAATGGACTCGTCGACCCCGTCGGTTTCACGGAACTTCTCCTCGAATTTCCGAAGGAACTCTTCGTCGCTTCGCTCCCTCACGACAACTCGTAGATCGTTCTTGTCCCGTGTTTTTCGGAAAGCAACGTTCGTCTTTACGTCGTTGTCGAGAATCTTAGCGTCGGGTGAATTCGCAGCGTGTCTCGTTTCCGCGATCTTGTGCTGGAAATCGACGATCTCCACCTCGTCTTGCCCGTAGCTGTAGATCGGCACGGGATAGTCTCGTTGGAGCTCCTCGGATCGCTCGGCCGCTCTAACGACACTGAACGAGGCTTCGGATTCGGACGATGAATATTCCCGGGAGAGCTCTTGCGTTTCCTTCACGACGTCCGACGTCTGCGAGTCCGCGGATTTTTCGGCTATATTTACCGTTCGCGAGATACCGTCATTTTCCGAGCCACTGTTCTCTCCAGACGCATCTCCGCCACGGTCTTCGACAACTTCAATCTTGACTACATCTTCCGATCTTCCGATCTTCTCAGTTTTATTCAACGACGTAGTTTCGTTATCTACGTTTCTATTGGGCGAAATCGTACTAGCGTTTTCTTCTTGATCCAGTTCTACGGGAACTAACACGTCGCTCGAATCGGAATTACTTACGTGCGATTGTTGCTCCTCCGTCGGTTCATTCCAGCGTATCTCCAAAGATGTTGTAGTCGTCGGTTCTACAGTGCCATCGGCAACGTCCAGGTTACCGCTGTAATTGGCGGGCGAAACGCCACTGTCATTCTCCGTAGTTCCGCCGACTACTTCGTCGTAGTCGTTGCTATCTACGCCAAGTTTCTTGGACTCCACGCCGGATGCAGACGTCGTAGTCTCGGCAGTATCATCGCTGCCTTCGGCAATGTCCGAACTTTCGGACGTGAGCGCGTTACCGGTATCGTGCTCGAAATCCGCGACGTCGATGCGCGCGAGTTTGGCGATCGGGGCTCCCGAGGCGACGGCGGCGTCAGCAGCATCCTCGTCGACGCCGGGCAACTTCGTCGAAGTGTCTCCCGGTGATCCCGCGAGAAGCCGCGAGATCGTGCCGAGCCTCGCCCCGTCGCTGGGCGATTCGCGGACGGTAGTCGACGCGGAAGAAGAAACGCGGTCAGAGTCGAAGACAGAGACAGAAGATGAAGAGGTGAGATGGTCGACAGCGACAGTGGTATGAGTCGAACGATCGTGCGAATAATTAGTAGTAGTGGAGGAGACATTCGCGACAAGCGGCACCGCCAATCCGGAAGTCGTCGATTTCGGCGACTCCGGCGGCGCGTCCCTCGCGACTTCGGCAATCTCGATTGAGCGTTCGGCAGCTCCTTTCACCGGACTGTCCGCATGCTTCGGATCATGCACAACCTTACCGGAAAACTCTTCATGCAACGGGACGGACCGCTGCCCGGTTAAGGACGCTTCTTCAGGGTCATGAAAGGATGGTGGTGCGACAGTTTGGTGCAACGCATGCTCGTTAAACGTGTCCCTACGCTTGCGGCTGTACACAAAACCATTTAGCAGCATGCTACCCGACGTGATAATACTACCTGATGTAGGCTGCCGCGGGCGGATCGACTGCGACGTCGACGTGGACGACGTGGACGTCTTGTTCGCCTCGCTCGACGGCTTCGCGTCCGTGTTCTCGCCCACCAGCACCGTGCACGCCTTCGTGCCTTGATACGACCAGTTCACTAAATTCGACGCTTAATAAGGAATCAATTAGCATTGGATGTGGTGTTAGTTTTCACCGGGGATTATATTAGCTTTATGTTATTTTGTGTTACTTGAGAATTATTTCACGCACAATATAAGAATCGATAAATTATCTAAAATCAGTTTTAAAGATATTTCCACGCATATCTCTTAAACATTTCTGCGACGGTGCTTAAACACAATTGCAATTTTTGAACAAATGTACTACGTTTTATAATTTTGTTCGGAATTAAAATTACATATGTACTTGTTTTACTTGAGGCGTTCAATATATTCTCGAAATAAGTGTGAAAGAAAACAGATAAATGCAAAATTGTTTTTTCACGACTAATGACTCTATCCATAATTCTTCGTATTCATAATGTATTCTTAATGAGCGTGGCGTACAGCTTAATTACTTGCACCGAAATATATGGCATTGCCGAGAGTATATTGAACGTCGCTCGCAGTGTAAAAGATCTTGATAGAGCAAAGAACATGCCACCGCTGCGAAAAGTAATACGCGAATAATTACCTGCGACGTAAGTTAATGCCGCGGTCAAGCAGAGCGCGAGCATAATTACTACTATGGCAATTAGTTTCCAGCTGCACCAATCGATTCCCTTGCGGAAGTGACAGCGGATGCTTTGTCTCCTCATCGGGATCATCGACGGGGCGTGCCCGTAAGGTAAAGGTACTCTGAAAATCAATGAAGGTCGATTTGTAGCGGCCGCAATTTAAATTCCCGGCTCCGCCGGGTTAGCATGTTTGTCCGACACGCGCGTTAACGATTACCCCCCCGTTCGTTAACGGTCGGAGATTAATCTTTATCCCGCCATTTTATGCGGAAAGTTGGATGGCTGGCCCGTAAAGAGAACCGCGCGCGCGTTAGCGCCCGCCGAATCTCCGGCTTTTACACAACGGGCGTTACATAATTTCTCGATGCACCGCCGTTGTAATTAGAGAAACACCGTCGTGGAATTCGGCACCTCGGTACAATTTTCAAGCACGTTCGGTCAAACTCGCGGAGTTTCCCCTATAGTATGGAGTTTCGGCTGTCTCGCTCCGCCCTTGCCCTCTCCCTCTCTCGCCCTCGTGGCGTTCGAGAAACTCGTAATGTATTCTCGCTCGTTACATACATACCCCCCGTGGAAAAGCAGCAGCCCTGGAGTATGTTTGTACTGAACGCTGCCGTTGCCGTTGCCGCCGCCGCCGCCGCCGCCGCTGCCTCCAAGTAACTCACAAATGTCTAACCAAAATATTTAAACGCAACCCGTCGGATTCTCCGAAGCGCGGGCGGGAGAAGCGCGTTTGCTTTCGTTGCGCCGCGTAATAATGAAAAAAACGAGAAACCCACGCGGCGTCTATCAAGCGTCCTCTCTCTCTCCGCTGTTGATTCTACGCGGATTGGACGCGCATTTTTTTTTTGTTCTATCGCGCAAACCAAATAAAAGCGGGCGATTTTGAGTTCTCCGAGTGAAACTTCTGGTCTCTGAATTCTCTATTTTCCGGGACCGACATCGAAATGTTTGACTTATTCGTTACAAAGTTCCAATATTGGAATATTCTACGTTTTTGGACGTTTCAGCTCTTGGGTTTTATGGCATTTACATTTTTCACTATGCTCTATTGTTTTGGCTTTTACCAAAAATAAATAAAAGCGATTAACTTTGTACAAATTAAGCAATTTCGAATCGTGTCGCTTCTCACATCTCATACTTTTTTTTTTACTATTCGATAATTCTAAAAATCGACGAACTGATTCTAAAAATTCTAAAAGGAACAAGTTAAATAGAAAATATCATATCGCAGTGATCAATTAATTAGCAGTGATCAAATTAATTTTTCCACTTTATACTAATTCAATATCATGTCATTCAATTTCTTTTTAAATAATTCGCTCAACTTTCGAGCGCTTTATTAATTTGTAAAAGTCGAATATGTTCGCTGCCAAGATAGCGCGTTATCACGACTTTCCGTCGTGCTGCCGTGCGAAAGAAGTTCGTTTACCGGCTCCGTGTAAATACACACTGTGCATCTCGTACTGACCGTTTTGCAAGTTTCAACAGTGCGCTTCTCGAGAGTCTGTGGCGAATACTCTCGTAAGGTCTCGACGGACCGGCGATTTTCCACGGCGAGGCGTCACGCGCGGACGAGAAGCGCTTTCTTGAGGGATGACAATCCACGCTCAAACATTGACTCATTGTGCGAATCGACTGAATGGATGATTCATGAGGATCTCTCGAGTGGCCCCGTCTAAACGCGAAGAAAGAGGCGGCGGAGCAGAAGTCGGCCACGGCTCGTTCGCTTCGATCATCCGTCGGTTTTCCGAACACGCGTTTCCTTCGATTCATTCATTCATTCATTCGCACACAGGCGACACACGTCGTCGCGCAGCACAGAAAGACGGGACGGAAAATATTGCTCGGTAAAATGCGGCTCTTTACCTGTCCATGTTGTTCTGCAGCTCCACTTTTATTGGACTGTTCCCTGTAGACTGATTCTTGTTGTTGTATTCATTCTTCGGTATCTCTGCAAGAAGAAACGAAACGATGAAGAGATGGTTTGTTATACGACGCGTCTGACAGATCGGCGAAATTTCTCGTGGGAAACGGCGGGACGATTCCCTCCCTCTCTGTCTCTCCTCCGCCCTCCCACCCGCACCTGTTAAGTTTTTCCGCCGCCAAAAATGTAAATGCGATTCAACGCGGTGTAGTTTACATTTTACGTAATGCATACGAAATCGCATTACACCAGGACGCGTCGTAACGCGCGAAAATTGGTGGTAAGATAACTTTTTCCAACGAGCCCTTTTCGCATCGCGAGGGCTCGCGATTACACCCGCAATTTTTAAAGTTTCACGTTCGGTGGATTAGATGAAGCTCCATCGCGGATGACTAACTGATTTACCGCAGTAAATGATATCGTTAGGGCCTTCTAATAGACGGCACGTACTACAAGCATTTTCACGTGGGATCTCTATCGGTTTGACAGACTAAAAAATGTCCGCCGGACGAACCGACGGGATAATGACAACCCTCTCCCTTGCGTTTATCCTCACGCAGTATTTCCGATTACGCGGAACGTGTAATTACGCGCGGCCGAGCGAAGGTCGGTGAGCGCGAGGCGTGGTCGGCCGTTAAATAAATTACGATAGTGTCGATTCCTCATTTTCAACGCGAGACTTTTCTCTGCCCCCTCCTCCTCCCCTCCCCCCCTTTCCCCTCCAACCCCACATCGGTGAACGACCAGACGTTCTTTGTGATGCCAGACGCGACCGTCTTTTCCCATTCGTGGCGCAGCGTGCTACGCTGCGTGTGCGTTTCGAGCAGAAGGAAGAGGTGAGACGGCGGGTCGCGGCGGCGGCTCCTGTTGAATCGATAAGTATATGATTCATCGCGGTTTTGGCTTGAATTTCAAGCGGCCAGGCCGCAAGTGAAGGGAGAAGACGCGTGTGTGTTATTCTTGGGTTTCAGAAAATCATTAAATGCAGGGGATCTTAAAAAGCGGAGAGAAAAAAAAACAAAGTACATCGCGAGAGTAAAATTTCTATTTAAAAAGCAAGAGAAAAGAAGTTAATTGGATCTGATAATAAATCTGGAATTGAAATTCTTTCTCCCCTTTCGTTAAAATATGCAATCTGGAAATTTGGAGCCAAATCCTATACGAGTGATACACCTCGTATATTCGACGCTAACACTGACAATTAGCGGCGGATGATGGTGGTTTGAGGGATCACACTCGCAACAATATGCACGAGTGGTATTAACGCGTTAAGCCTCAAACGGGGGAACCTCAAGTACAAGTTTCGGACATGGAATAACGCGCGGGATCGCACGAATTCTATCACGTCTCTCTGCGATATCGCGCTGAAATATTCGGGTCGATGTTAGTTATACGAATTAAAATAGCGCTTCGCGCCGGCGAAACTTTTAAATCTATTTTCCAGCCGGAAAAATTGGCCGGAACGTACAATATTCATGATCGGCGGGCGATATCGCGGGCGGAAGGATGAAAAAAAAAAGGAAAGGAAAAGAGATCGTGCGAGATTGGATATTCAATTCCGAGTATAATGACTGATAAAATAGAAATAAGCACGCCGAAAACGTATTTACATTTGAAACAAGCTCCGAATTAATTTTAGAAGTTTAACTCGGTGTATCCGCACGACGAGATACAGCGGCGCGCGCTCTCTCCGGTGGCACGGCGCGCATTTAAAACGCAGCGCTCGTCGTTTTGAATATTAATGAGCCACTTTGCACGTTTACACGCGCGCGAGCGGCATTCGAGTTCGAGCTTTGTTGTTGTTCTTGACACTTAACCCGTTTCGCGAAAGCCCTTTTTCGGGAACAACGGGGCGGGGGGAGAGGGGGTGGGGGGGGGTAGCGCGCGGGAAGCGCGGGAGGCTGTAGGAGGCTCGTCGCTCCGGCGCTCCTTTGTCTTCTTAACGGGTAACTCAAGCCCAACGAAGCTCCTCACTGCTGCACCTTTACACGTATACCCGAACGAGCGAGTAAAACGCGGGCGTGGGAAGAAGAGGGGCTCGGGGCCGTAGCCGACTGACCCCCGCCGCCGCTAATTGCAGGTGTTGCCGCTCCGGCCCCGAAATCCGGTGATTATGCCATTTAGGCAGATATCTGTGATTACGGTGATTTTCGGAGGAGGGTATTTTTGCTTTCTCTCCCTTTCTCTCCCCGCAGGGTGTCCTTTTTCACTTTTATTTTTCTCCCGGACGCTTAGGCGCACGAGAGAGACGACGAGCCCCTGTCGTCCGGAATCGAATTAGAGGGGAATATCTGCTAATCGGCGGTTCGCCGGCGAGAATTCATTCTAATTGGCGACCTGCCAGGTGATTTACCGTCGCGAGGGGCATCCTCACGCGAAGAATGGCGCCGCGAAAGGGTTGTACGTGAGTATGCAACGGACTGGAACTGCGTCGGCCGCGTTAAATCACCCGAGTGACTAGAATTCCGGTAACGCGATAATGCTGAAGCGTATACCTCAGTCGCAAGCTGCGAAATAACTTTTCTCACGTGACGCGAAACATTCGCGATAATCCAATGTTACAAGGGGCGGAATAAAGTTTTAACGAAATACTTGAAGAATTAAAGCGCTTAGATGTATCTTTTCTCGTTATGCATCTCTGAAATTCCGCGGTGAAATTCCGTAAAATTTTAAGCACGAGAAAATCGACTTGCTTGGATTTTCCATTACGCTGCGATTAACAATCTATCTCATTAATAATTTATAATACCGCTCTGTTGAGAGCTATCGTGAATTTCGCAAGGCAATTTCGAATATTTGCAGATATATTAGTCTGTTGTAAAAATGTGTGCGAAAGAAGAAGAAGAACTAACTTGATTTAAGTAGCACGAATCGGTTTTACGCTCGTAAAAAAAATATTTCTCGGTTACACAGCAATAACTGGATTAGCGACGGCGATAAAAGAAATTAGATTTCGTGGAAAAAGGGTTTGAAAAATAAACAAGACAGGTAGTCGAGGATTTTCGGGAAAGTATAGAAATCTAATGTAAGTGGAGTTAAACGTATTATGCAAAGACGGTCATAAGCGTCAGGTAGTGTCATAACCGGGAAGTCAATAAGTCAAAGGGGATCGTAAATCACCGTTTGTGCTGTCACGCGGCTTTCAAAGCGAGGCCTTTGAATCGTGTCGCAGTTTGCTTCGGAAAAACGCAAGACACATAGACGGAAAAATCAACCCCCGGCGTTCGACCGTGGAATTTGAAAAATCTTTTACGACGAGCCAAACAAGAGAAAGGAGTTTGTCACCGGGCGGGCGCCCGGGGTACTTGTACCGGACACTTCCGGAGTCACCGAGTGGACCGGGGGACACTTTGTACGTGGAAAAGCTTAGGTTTCACCGTTGTTTTCTCTCTGTAGTCGATACCACGCGTCGGTGGAGTGCCTCGGAAAATGTCGCCGCAAGGCACCCTTTTCTTCTCTCGAAAAGAACGCTCGGTGGTACGGCAAAGGACGAGGCAAACCACGACGTCGGGGATTGTCCTTAAACTGCCGCACAAAATAAATGCGTATACCGTTTTTCAATGCGGAAATCGCTCATTTGTTTCTGTGCATTTTAAGTGACTAAAGATCAACTTTCTAAAATCAAAGTTGTGTGTGCGCGTGTGTGTGTGTATGCGCATAAAACACAAAAATGCGGCTTCTCTTTTACTGCGAATGAATGATTTATGTCTTTTTTGCTACTTTCTCAGACGTTACATGGTTTTAACTTTTTCTTTTTTTTTTTTCTAATCGCGTTGAAAAGTTTCGCCGGTAGTGCAATGTTATTTTATGTTGAGATACTTTAAATTAAATTTGCAATTAATTTGCCTATGCGCGTGTAAGTTTGAAGAACTCGTGAAAGGCCAAGTTAGCTCGAGCTGAATCAGACCGATGCGCTCTGGGCGGGCCAATCCGGCGACTAGATTTTGAGAATCGTTCGGGCTTGTTAGAGCGTCAAGTCAGTCTCGAGGCTACTCCAACAAGTCCGGACTTTTATTTCGAACTTTTATTTCACGAGAAGCCGCGTTTTCTCACGCGAAACACGCGAGCATCGTCGGCCGGGTCATCACGTGCCTTGCTTTCCCAAGATAAAGCAAAAGGATACCCGGAATCCTTCGGCAAACAGAAGCGTACGAAAACTTCGTCGGGGAGAAAAAAAAAGAGAAACATTTCAGGGACTGCAGCGTTGGCTTTCGAGGGGTCTTTGAAGAACGCGGGGACGATAAGATACGAGCTCGTAAGAGGACCTGGAAATTATCGACTCCCCTTTTCACCCCCTCCGCTAACCCTCCCCTTATTGGTTACCACTGATTACGGCGTATACCCTCGTCAAAGATGTCACCCCGCTGCCGTCTGCCCTCGCTAAGCCATCTTTCGATGACCTGGCGCAAACATCGCCGACATTATCGGTTGACACACCCCGCCAGGACAACTCACGTTTTTCATCCCGACAAAATATCAACGATACAGGAATATTTATGCTTCGGCAATCGCGCGGCATTATTAAAAGGAAAAGTTGGAGAGTTTCGCATTTTGTTTCTGCGCGGCGATAACAAATCGATGCTCCGGCGAGATACGAGAAAACAGGGACAGGTACAAAAATCGTTTCTCTCGTTTCGTGACGCGACTACCTGACTAGATAAGGAAAAAAAAAAAAAAAAGAGTCGCCTCCTCGGGGTCAATATTTTGTAATTAAGGTAATGGCAAAAGAAGTTTCTAATAAAAGGGAAAATTTATAGCACGGGAATATCGTACACGATTCTTTCACCAATTTGCGATCAATAAGTTTCTTAATAAAGATATAGAGCGAACAATTCTCAAGCTATGAATTAAGAACAAGCAAAATTTGTACAATCTAGCTTCAATTATTTCGATAAATGATATAATCTTATTTCAAAATACTTTGAATCTTATTTAAAATTTACTATTTTGAAATTACGCAATATGTGTAATGCTACTGAAACTTTTATTTCGGCAAAAAAATGGATCAATTGCGGATTGGTGAAAGTAGACGGAGGAAAAGGGGGAAAACCGTTTCCCACGTGTTCGCCGCCGCTTACTCTTCCCTCTCTACTAAATCAGACTTAACAATCCCCGCATACTTACTTGGTATATTGTAGAAGTTACCGGATGGGGTGCGTACGAGACAGGATGGCTCGAGATCGGGATCGCGTTCGTGATCGCTCGCAGCGTGACTTCCTGGCAGTCTTCCGTTGAGTCGGCTCATTGCGGGGTTACGGGGTGGCACATCAGGTGGGCCCCGTGGTGCCGAACTGTCCAACAAACACCCTGCAACAACAACGGAGAAAAAGTACGTTAGTTTCAGAATGAAAAATTTCTGGAAAATAAATATAATTCAAAGTATTTGATGTTAAAAGAACGATAAATTTCACGGTTTAAAAAGTGAAAGTGTTAAAAAGGATTCTGGCATGTTTCACGGACAGGTTCAAAATTTACCCTTTAAAAAGACGGGTTTAATGCGTGGTATTTTGTCTGAGGACACGCAGCAGGTAAAAATTATAATAAATTTAAATAGAAAAGGATTGTAAAAGCGTAACTAAAATTTCAAGACTCAGAAATATAACAAAAATTATTAAAAATAAAATGTAATCTAAATAACCTTAGCTATATTTTTATAAATTTTTTTATAAATCGCGATATTTTTCGAGAAGAGAGATAACTGATTTTTCCACTTTTGATCGTGAAAAGGAAAATTGGCTCATATTTTTTTTCCGGGGTAAGCAATAAAATAATCACAAATGGATAATAGACGACTGATGGGAAAATTGTCAAAAAAAAAACGGTAGGTGTCTATTGAATATATGGAACCATAAAAGTGAGAACATCTTGGTAAGAAAAGCGCCAGATCGACACGTCGGCGCGAGGATTCGCCTAGATCCAGGCCGGCTGGCGGTCTCCGAAGCTTATAATGCTCGCGCCAAGTAATCCAGAGCAGGTGGTACCCGGCCTGGGTTTTCATCTGGCGAAGGGTTGAGCCGATCTCACGATTAGGTACGGTTCACACGTGACGACCGTCATCGCGGCCGTCGGGGGTGGACGGATGATGCGCCAACGCATGAAATCGCCGCGCGTAACCCTATCCGCGCGCGATCTGGAATTTTTTTTTTCCAAGCCAAAGCCGACAAAAGTTCGCTTTCGAGCGTTAGCGCGAACGCGCGCGGCAACGAAGGCGGAATGAACGAGGCGGATTTACAGGCGTGCCGCGGATTGGAAAGATTGTCGGGAGATATTAAAAATGGAAAGCCGGCCCGATGCGATCCGGAGGTTTCGCGGTGTAAAAGGCTGTTGCGCTATTCATCACGGTATATCTCCCGCGAAAGCGTTAGCAGATTATTGTTAGACGCGGGCTGCAATATTCAGCAGGCTTTATATAAGTAGGACAAACGCGAGCGGCTGCGAAGCTAAATCTCGATCACAAAAAGACATGTATACACTGCGATTTATTTATACGGCAATATCCGAGTTTTACAAGCGCGATGCACTTTCAATGTGATATACGACAATTCCAAAACAATCTCGATCATTACAAGCGCGAAACAACTCTGCCAATTGAAAAACTCGGTTTAACTACTATGTCCGACGGAGCGGCGTGTTGCGAGTCGAAAAACGGCAAAAGCGAATATCATCGCTGAACTCAATTATCTTCGCTTGTTTTTATTATCATCTTGGCGTGCGATTACTCGCGTGATAAATTCTTGCGCGAATAAATCACGCAAAACTCAACGATTATGCAGAGTAATTGCAACTGTACACGTCAACTAATACTTCATGATTGCCCGTACTTCATGATTTCGCGTATATGTTCGAAAAAAGTTTATTGCAACTGCAAAACGATGAAGAAACACAATTGTATCTCACGCTAAATCAAGCGCAGCAAATGAATACACGTCATTCTAATCCATAAATTCGGCACGTCGCCCGGCAGCGACTGTTTCGCATTTTTATGTCACCGGAAGAGTTAGTTTTATTTTTGTTTAAGCGATATATCTCTCGCAAATCACTCATCCGAGATAAATTTCAAACTTGTCGGAAGCGTCCAAATTCGTCTGAGCTTTCAAATAAAACTTATTTTTCGTTGCAACTTTTCTGCGCGAAGATATCGATAATTACATCGACCCGGATCAATTATCATTTTGAGTAATCCCAATTTATGCTAAAATTAACCGAGAATTATGTATTCTGTATAGGTCAGTGATCTACCATCACTGATCAGCTGATCAGCTGATCAGCTGATCGCAATGCTTATGTAACATTACGCGTACGCGTCGTTTCGTTCATTCGCGTTGGATTTTTAAAATGTCATAACTTGACGAAAAAAAATTGGCGTAGCAACATGCGTTAAAGACGGATTTTCTAGGTTTCATATTCGTTACACAGCATGCATCAATTTGTGTCTGTCTGTTACAGAAAATACTTTGCCCGCAATTTATTCTTTCAATATATTATCTTCGATATTGGAATATTAATTTATTGTTATCGCTTCTCGTGAATGTATATCGGTAAAAATTTAATATCGCCAGCTGTAAATTTATTTATACAGATAATGTATAATAATTAATGAATTATGTCAGCTAATCGGCCGGCATCGATCGAGCGCCCGAATTCGGGCACTGTATTCGAAGAAAATCCGCTGTACATGGGAGTCGGCAAGAAATTCGAGCCGCTTCTTCTGCATGGAGTGCCCCAGTCAATGAGGTGGATTCGTTTCTACTCTTTTTTCTAGCGGTCGTAACGAACGTCGCCCGATATCCTATTGGACGATAAAGGACGCAACAGGAGGCGGCGTGAGCGGAAGAAAATGGGGTGGGGCGGCGAAGGAGGTCGGCAACCGGGTGGAGGATGAAAAAAGAGAGTGAGAGAAGAGCGCAAAAAAAAAGTTTTATCCCGTGCGACGACAAAGGACTTTCTCAATCTCGTCTAATCGCGTGCTCGTCTCCCCTTCGTCCTTCCACCCGTCCGTCCGCTGTAGCTACCAACTTCGATTCGTGCCTCGCTTACCCTTCCTCCCGCCGCCCCGTCCCTTCCGTCGCCCGACTTGGTTCAGCCAAGAGTGCTCGACCCTTTTACGACCGAACTTTCCCAGTTTCGACATTTCGCTCTTACGCCCCTCCTCGCATCCCGCTCCCTAGGAAAGCACCATTTGGCATTACTACCAATGCGCATCGGTTCATCGACAAAGATAGAGACGCGTAAACTGGCGTGACGCTTCAAGGACATGTTGTCCCTTTTTTTTTTTTTCTTCGAAAAGGTTAAAAGGCGTTTCGGAAAAAATAGCCGTTTTTGCATTCGCATTTAGAACACGAGTGAATAATGATATACGTATGTAAGCTGCGATTATTACATCGTATAATTAGCGAGCAAATTAATGTATTGACGTAATTAGTAATAATCATATTCGTAATTCCGAATGTGAAATTCTTTTATTATATCCCCCGCCCGGATGTATTCGGCGATTAAATATGAATCCTTATATTAATATTTCCCAATGGTGGCTATATATTAAATTTTAATTAATACAACAGTGCCGTTGCTAAACTCCAAAATCAAAGTGCACGATATTAAATATACGCATCAATTTTACGTGACTTATATATGTCACATAGACATATACACGGTACATTTTTAATGGCGACGTTTCCTCGATCTTGTTACGGCATGCAAAACGTCGCCGGATAATTTCTGTTAATAGGAATTTCGCGGAAGAAGACACTGAGAGATCGACGGCGCGCCTCGTCGACCCGTTTCTATCTGAACGCCCGAAACTTGTTAACCCCAGAATCCGCTCGTTACGCACGAAACGTTCGTGCGACTCGAGAGCTCGGGCGCTCGACAGAAGCCGCGCGGGTCTATTCATCCTTGCAGAGTCATCGAGGCAGAAGAGTCTGCGGCACGTCGTTATTCTTGCTAATAGATCGGCGGGAGTGGGTATTGTCCCGACAGTTACTTCAAGAAGATCTCACTCCGTCGTTGTCACTCCTTTTCCCGCCGTTTTAACAGTCTCGAACGTGCGAGAAGGAGACTGCGAACGCGACCTCATCGTCGCTCGAGGAGAATAAATAAAAACAGACCGGAGGGCCGAGAGAGGAAGAAAGAAAGTTCAAGCGTCGACAAAAGGTAGAACCGATCCTTGCGCTATCCGGTATCCAGGATGAGCATCGCGCGACAAAGGATGCGTGCACGCGGGGTAAGAAGAAGCGAAGCATCCGTGAATCGAATTATGCTCGCCTGGTTTGCGCGGACTGGGTCCTCCTACCGGCGAAGGGACCCAAGAGGTGGAAGGAGCGCCAAAAGAACGTCGTCATAGAGGACCCCTCGGGCTTGAATGAGCCCTGACCTCGAAGACCCGTTGTAGCGCACACCGGGCCGCGTAATGGATGCGCCGACCATTCAGAGCGCACGTCAAAACGCGTAACATAATATCGGGGCCCTTACGAGCAAGAGCCCATGCCTAATGGAATTTATTAGAGAAGGTACTTCCCTTTTTTTCCCCGAGATTCCTCAGGTACGAATCGTTCGCCCGTGCGCGCGCTCGAATCAAGAGGTTCTCCAAGATCGTCACGGCTTGTCTTCGGATCATTGGAGGTGGCTCTCCTTCGGCATGGAAAAGGCTAACTGGCACACAACCGTATGAGGAAAGTGAGATTCTTGACACAGCAATTGGTCGATTGCTCGCATCGTGATGCAATCCGATCCCGTTAAAAGCCTCTTCACAGTTTTAATGGATCACCAAGATGATGAATCGACGTGTCCGATAGTATTGTTTGATTTTTGAGTTTCGTCGAATGAGTTTGTTAATTGAATATTACAAGCATGGGATATAATTCAATAGTAACGCACACGAGAACGATGGATGTTTTAATTAAATGTACACTTTGATATTTTGATACGAGAACTGATACTGATAATAATTTTTGTAATGTAAATAAAAATTAGAAAAAAAAAAAATAAAAACAATGATTAAGTAAAGTATATTTGACTAGCGGTTTGTTGCGGATTGCTTAAGTCTTCAGTATCCGTTTCCGATAAAAGATAAATTGTACCACCGCGCCATTTTTCGCCGAAAAAGTATGACTCTCGTGTGAAACCGTGCCGAGATAAAATACCGTATAAAGAAACATCGTAGCAATATCCACAGAGATTTAGGAGGGGAAAAGTGAACAAACGATTCGGGAGCCTGGTCACGTATCAAAGAGCAGAGTGGACGAATTTTGGGACGCTGGGCGAAGAAAATGAACAAGGGTTAGTCTCGTGTCTGGATTAGCTTTCGG